ATGCCTTGAAGGCTGCTGCACATGCTTTTGAAAGCAATGATCATGAACTGGCACAGGCAATCATTGATGGTGCAAACATAACACTACCACACGGTAGGTTTGGCGTCCTGATGATAAAGGGGCAGTCACTTTGTCTTCAATAGCAGGGAACCACTAAGGGGGAAGTTTCTGTTTCTCTTCTACAAGTATTCTAATTCTTTTTATTAGAGTGAAAATTAGCACTCCTCTTTTTATATTTTTCAGCTGGTGGTAGTTTATATCTTGGTTCATTTTTATGTTTCTTAATCTCAGAAAAGAGACCATGTGATAAGCTGCATTTTCTAGTTTCTGTGTGACTTAGTTTTTTGTGGACACAAGCCCCCTTGTCTGTACAGTGTACATCCCTGCCCAGCAGTAGTTGTTGCTGCTGCCTTAACTGCTGTCCTGCAGAGCTGAGGACTCTCAATTTAGGTTTTATAAAGTGCAGAGGATTCATGGATGCCCCTTTGCCATCATGCTTTCCCATCATTTAGTGTGAGCAGACCTAAACTTTGAAGTTTGGGTTGTTTGTTTGTTTTGTTTTGTTTTTTAATTATTATTTGGGGCCAGCGAGGGCCACAGGTGAGACAGCTCCACTCTTGCAGAGGACCTGGGTTCAGTTCCCAACCAACCATTTGGTGGCTCACAAGAGTCTGTAACTCCAGCTCCAGGGAAATCTGATTCCCTCTTCTGGCTTCTGCAGGCACTGCATGTATGTGGTACACATACATACATACATTCATACATAATTACATATGTTTAGGTAAACATTCATACATTAAAAAATAAAATAAGCCGGGCAGTGGCGGCGCACGCCTTTAATCCCAGCACTTGGGAGGCAGAGGCAGGCGGATCTCTGTGAGTTCAAGGCCAGCCTGGTCTACAGAGCAAGATCCAGGAAAGGCACAAAGCCACACAGAGAAACCCTGTCTCAAAAAAACCTAAATAAATAAATAAATAAATAAATAAATAAATATCTCTCTTAAAAGGTGTTTTGGTTTTTTTTTGGGTTTTTTTTTTGTTTTTTTTTTTTAATGTATGGGTATTTTTGCTATGTGGATGCTGGGAAGCAAGCCCATGTTCTCTGGAAGAGCAGCAACAGCTCTTAACTGCTGAACCACCTTTTCTACCCCGGCTTCAAAGTTTTGAGGGGTAGTTTTCCATAACTGTAGCCATGAACCTTATAAGAAACCTTTCTTGCTTTGAGAAAATGACTAAGAACCACCATAATTTGTATGTATCCAGGGACACATAGATGCCAGACTTGTGCACATACCCTTGTATGGCCTCTTTGATCGAAACATTAAATATTTCACATTGAGGTTTAGGTGTTAGTTTTATATATGTACTCTTTGTCCTTTTGCTTTATGTATTTGTGTTTTTCTCTTCAGCTTTGCAAGTTAGTATCTTCCCAGGTTGTTTCTTCTGACCTATATAAGGGATAACCACCTACATTTACTGTTCTGTTCATTGTTAGGCCACTGTTGTTTTCCCCAATGTCTGTTTTACTTTTGTTCATTTGTGGAGAAGCAATGTTTTAGTAATTTAATCATCTGCAGAATGTCCTTTGACTCTTTGTCCAATGCAGAATGTTTTTTACTCATGAGCCTTGCCAACTTTCCAAATCCCCTGCTCTAATTAGCCATGCTTCTAAGAAGCATTCCTTGTTTTATGACTATCTGTTACTTATTAGGAGCACTTGTTAGCATGGGCTTATATCACTAACATTTATTGAACACCCACTTCTCCCACACGCGTAAAAATGATCACTCCTATATTTGAATAGAGTGCCATTTCAACATGCCTACTTAGTCCCAGTTTTTGTACCTGGTGTTTAAATTCTTTACTTCTTCCATGATTGTAGATTAGGAGGTGGTGACATGGTCTTCCATCTACCCCTTCAGCTACCCCATTATTGTGACAGAGAATGAAGGTTCCACTTTCATAAAGTTGTTACCTATTTCTGATACTTACATCCCTTATTTCCCAAGCAGAATCTGTTGTGTAGGCCTGCAAGTGGCTGTAAGGAGAGTCATGTTTATATGGTGGTTTTAATCTAGAACTCCAGAACTTTGACTTCCTTATTTTATACTTAACATAGTTACCTGTAGCTAATTATGTTCTCCAAATTGTGGCTTCGTTTAAAAGCTCATGGAGGCAGGGATCACCAAGATGGCTTAGCAGGTGAAGGTGTTTACCATCAAGCCTGATGACATGTGAGTTCCATCCCAGGAACCAGCTCCCTCAGGATCTTCTGACACCCTCATGTGCGCTGGCTGTGGCAAGCACAAACACAATAAGTGTATTAAGTAAATTTAATAATTGTATTTTAAAATGCTTCTAAGTTCATAAAGGCAAAATATGTTTCCTGTATAAATAAGCACAGTCTATGTGTATCCTATTGAGTGTAAACTCAAATCTCTAAAGATTTAAATCTGGTTTCTGCTTATCTACATGAACTGTCAAGAAAAATAATGTTGTTATGCCAGGCGTGGTGGTGCAGGCCTTTAATCCCAGCACTTGGGGGAGGCAGAGGCAGGTGGATCTCTGTGAGTTTGAGGCCAGCCTCATCTACAGAGTGAGTTCCAGGAAATCCAAGGCTACACAAAGAAACCTTGTCTGGAAAAAACCAAAAGAAAGAAAGATATATTCTGCATAAGCATGGAAGAACCATGCTGATGTCAGCATTCCTCTCTCAAATGAATTATAACAGATTTGTAGGTGATAATGTTTTGTCATTTGCTACCCTTGAGTGTTTGTTTTTTCTCTGAAGCTTAGCACTGATATTTCAGGCCCTTGGGTAGGCCTGTCAATTATGACATCATATATCCCTAATTTGCCATCAGTTACAATTCAGCTGCTTAACTGGATGTTTTTAGACCTGCTCAGTGGTGGTTTTCGACATCACTTGTGCTTCTCTGTAGTAATTAAAGCTGTGTGATGTTACACAAATCACCTCTGTAACCTTCAGTTCTTTGTCAGATGTGCACTGTGGTAACCATCTGTCTGCTTGATTGTTGCATGGGTTCAGTGTGCTGATAGTTAGGAGTCATTTACCATAATGCCTGGTCTACCAAAGGCACTTAATACATACTGGGCTTGTTGAGTTTAGTTTTTCACACTGGACTCTGGCACTGACAGGTTAAATTCCCTGCACCAGCCTTGACTTACCGATCCTGACTAGGCTGTATTCACTGTGGCCTCTGTTGGCTTTAGAGGACTCTCCTCTTGTCCACACCCCTTCTCATAACTTCCTAGTCTTATAAGAACCTTTCCCTTATAGTTTTTATAGCAATTTTAAAAATTAATTGCCTTAAATTCCTTTTTTCTTATGGTGTGCCATTTTGCCATTATATAAAAATGCTAAAAACATGCCTTTTTTTTTTTTAAGTTGCTTAGTTGTAGGTGAGTGGGTGGGTGTGTGAACTCTCATGCTCAGAAAAAAAAAATCAGGAGCAATCCCCATTTTACTCATAAGAAAAGTGAATCATGGAGAGATTATGTCTTTACAGGGATAAATCATGGAACTGAGATTTGAACTATGAATAACAAAAGCATCTTTGATTCTTTCCCAGTATGCAGTTTCAAATCTGTGAATTTGTAAAGCCATTATACAAGTCCTCTTCATTGATATTTTACAAGATTACACAAGTCTGATCATTTTGGTACCTTGCATATTGCCTAAAATAATTTAAAACGATAGACTTTTATTAATACTAAAGGCAAACAGACAATACAAATGGACAGGAAATATATATGTATAAGCATTTCTGTTTCTCTTAGGTTTCTCTTAAGACTATCAAAAACAGGCCGTAATGCTTACCATGGTGGCATACACTTGTAATCCCAGCACTCAGGAGGCTAAAGCAGGTGAATCTCTGAGTTGTGAGTTCAAGGTCAGCCTGGTCTACATAGTGAGATCCAGGCCAGCCAAGGCTACATAGAGAGACCTTGTCTCAAAAAGAAAGGTAGGGGGGCGGTGGTGGTGCACTCCTTTAATCCCAGCTCTTGGGAGACAGAGATCTCTGTGAGTTTGAGGCCAGCCTGGTCTACAAAGCGAGTTATAGGACATCCACGGCAGTTACACAGAGAAATCCTGTCTCGGAAAAAAAAAAAAAGACTGAATAATTTTTTTTAAGGCAATCCAGAGCAACCAAGGAGATGGCTCGGTGAGCAAAAGCAATTGCCAGGCAAACCTGATGGCCTACGTTTGATCCCTGGAACCCATGTTAAAGCCAGATGTAGTGGCACACATCTAGCCTGAAGTGTACTTTGGAACAGCAGGAACAAGAGACCCTGCCTTAAAACAAGCACTGACTAATGAAAGTTGTCACTGCCCCCCAACACACAATTTTTTTTTATTTTTTATTAAAAATAGGCCAAAAAAACAAAAACAAAACAAAAACCCAAAAACTTCAAGAAATGGACAAGGGCCAGGCATGATGCATGTCTGTAATCCTGGCACTTGGGAGGCTGAAGCAAGAGGATCACTTGTTGAAGGCCAGTCTGACTGACAGACATAGCAAGAACCTATCTTTTAAAAAAAATTTTTTTTTCAGGAAATTTGGTTGATTTAAAGGTCCTAAAGAATGGATGCATAACTATAATACAGATATTTTTTATGCAGATGATTTTTGCTTAGCTGGTGTAGTGTTTAGAAATGAAATGGGACCTTAATAAGGAGCCTGATGACTGATTAATCACAAATGTTACATCATTTCTTTCTGTCCTCAAGGAGACAAAGATGGCTTAGAGTTACAAAATGTGACTATGTCTGCCTCTCTGTTGCCGTCACCCTTTTTCTTGAATTAGAGTGATAAAGTCTGAAAATAGCTGTGTGGGAGGTTGTTCCTGAGCCAGGAGGCTTGTCTGAAGAAAACCTCCTTTCCATATTGTTCTGGGGGTGGGAGTGGGGGTGGGGCTGGGGAAAGCAGGGTTTCTCACATCCCAAGGCGCAGCTCGATCAACTACCACTTCTATAAGGCCTGCTGGGCTTTCAGTAGACACCAGACCCAAGTGCTTCTACCTGGCTCCTCTGCCCCCTTAAAATGAAATCCTGAAACTAAAGATGAAGT